TCAAATATTCCAGGAGACCATTACATGTTTTCTGGCATCAACTCATCTTTAATTTGTTGCCCATAGTCGGCTGGGATCATTTAGCTGTAATAATTTCCTAATTACTCTCCCGCACCAACATCATTATCCTCAGTGGGGTTGGCAACATCTCCCTGTAAAGTAACTTTGAGCTAAACAACAACACTAACCACGAAAATCATCAGCCTACAAACATGGCTTTCCTCCATGGGTAATGAATGTTCATGCTTGGGCCACGGCCCATAAAAGTGGCCAGATGTCTGACTTTGGGGCTGTTGGGATGGGCCAAACTATTTTGCTGACTCACGCTGACAACCAGACCAGGTGAGGTTCCTGCAAGTCCGGCTCTGGATTATAAGAGCCTTTCTGAGGAAGAGTGGGCCAGAGAGAAAGACAGGAAAAGCCGCAGAGAAACCCCACTTGTGTAAACACAGTCCTGCCTCAAAACTAAAAATAAAGGCAAACCACAGGAAGGGAGCGAGTGCTTGGACAATATCCTATTCTGTGCTTGTCCAGAGGTGTGTTTAAGGAATGAGGTGAGGCAAGAGCAAGAGGACCCCACCCAGTTACAACCATGTCAAGATGCTTGTTTAAGACCTCCGAGATTCTTTGTTAAAGATTACTTGGGTTGTACACCTATTTTTCCTTAACAAAATAAAGATGTAAAAACGTGCCCAGCAAGATCGTGTGGAATAGGGATGATGGAGATGATAATAACTTTCCAGCAAAGTTGAAAAAGAACATCAAGGTCACTTTACCATGGCACAGACACTTCTGCAAGCTATTAAAGGTCAAACAGATCATACTTGGCATATTGTACTATATTTATAAATAAATAAATAAATATAATTTTTGAGCCTACCTCACTTTGGGAATATATATATATATATATTGGGAAGATACTTGGCATATTGCACTATATGTGTGTGTGTATATATATGTATACGTGTGTGTGTAAACACACACACGAATATAGTACAATATGCCAAGTATATTCCCAATATATATATTCCCAAAGTGCGGTAGGCTCAAAAATTAGTTAGGGCTATAATGACGGAAATGTCCCTAAAAGCTAAATAAATAGTGCTCTCCTCCCTTTTAAGATGAAGAAACTGAGGACAAATGAGGGTAAGTAATATGCCCAGTGTCACAAAGCAAAGAATCAGTCGGGATCAGAACCCAGCACTTTCCGAATCCCAATCCATGCTCGTCCCCGATGCCTGGGGTGAACAACAGCAGCATGAGTGCCACAATTGGCACAGGCAGCTTGTGTGTGTGGCATGTGGCAAATCATGGAGGAGACAGGGAGCACAGCTGCGGATAGCACAGGGAACACAAGGCAGAGGAGCACAGGGCAGAAAGCAGCACAGAGCAGGGAACAGAAAGCAGAACAGGGCTAATCTATGGCATGCCTTCCAAAAAAGTTGGCCCCCGTTGCCCTAGACCACTGCGTCTGTCTGTACCTATTGCCCTCACACACACACACACACACACGTTTCAGCCACAAAACCACACTCGAAGGCAGTGGCTCTCACCTGGAGTGCCAAGATACAGGTACTGCTGCAACCAAGATGAAATACTCTACAAGCCTCCTACAGAGCTGGACCTAAATCACACTCTTGCCACAGCCCTTCCTGACCTGACCCCACGTGCTCCTCCCAAAACAGAGGTGCAATGGGCTGCTGGGACCATCTGTACCCCTCTGTTTCTGGGAACAGCGAGCAGGATCAGACTGGGAAAGGCTTTGGCAAGAGCACGTGCTCCAGCTGCAACCCTTTGCACTGCCTACCTGGAGGGGTCAGGCTGGGCTACGAGGCAGCCTTCTTTTACTCTGCTCGGCTGGAAGGGTCCGGCTGGGCTGGTGGAGCCCTCCACAATGCTCATTTGAAGGGGTCCAGCTGGGCAGGTGCAGGGCTTTGCACTGCTCAGCCAGAAAAGTCATGCTGTGCTAGAGCAGGCGTCTGTAGCGACTGGCCTGAGGAGCTGGGTGGGGGGACACGCAAGGCAGGCAAAACCACCCTCCTTTTTCCTCCCAATCACATACCCCAGGGGCACAGGAGAGTTTTACCCAAGGCAAGAAATGTATTAGTTGTGCCTTTGCTCCTGCATGCTTCAGGTTTATCAGGATTATCTGCAGGACCCTGGCAGAGCACCACCGGAGGGACGTGGAAGCAGGACACCGGTGGGTCCCCACCCAGGGTGCCACTGCATTCAAAAAGGTGTGGAGGGCTGCCCTGACTACCCAGGTTGAGAACCACTCTTCTAAGCAGCAGCAAAAGCTCAAACCTTCTCCCCATGAGAGGCTGATGATTACATACAAACGCTGGCAGGCTTCTGAGGAGGCCAACAGCTGTAAAGCCTTTGTCAAAGGGCAAAATAGTTCTCAGGACCATGATATTGCACCCAAAGGCAAAGACCATTTATTTTCCTTTCACCCACCACTTGCCCTTAAAGCCAGGCAGCCCTCATTTGATTTCTCGCTCTGGCTATTGCCTGGTTGCACCCGGTTCTGCTATTTTCAGCTACACAATCATTTATCAACCCATTGAACGTGTGGCTGGGTTTATCAGCGTCGGTATTTGTCATCTGTAACTCATTAGGTATCACCTTGTAGAAAAGGCTTCTAAAAACGGATACAATCAAGGCTAATTTATCTATGCCAATTTAAAGTAAGTGCTTGAAATCCAGGCAGAGAGGCTAGTCCTGCCAGGCTCCTGTGCTTACAACCAGGCCTGAGACACCACTCAGAGGCCTTCTGGGGTAATGCACAGCTTCACCGTTATTCCAGCTCTCGATTTGAACAAACCCCGCCCCAAATGCATAATTCTAAGCAAATCAAAGAAATAGAGACCTTTCATAATAGGTGTTATGCCAAAAAATAAGTTGTAAGGGCGTCATCGCACCCAAGGATGGCATTGGACTGAAGTGCGGGGACCTTTTTTCCAGCCCTTAACAACCATCATCCTCAAGTCTTTCCTTCCCCCGAACATTTTCCCCTCCTTAACCAAGCTACTATAAAGCCCAGGCTGCTAAACCAGGCTCCCTCCATCCTCCCCAGTCCTTGTTCTACCAAATAAGACCACGCTGAGAAAACCGAGAGGGGAATACAACATTCAAACCTGCGCATGTTTCTTGTTCTCTCTCCTCTCCCCACTAATTTTTATGTGCCTCTCTTCTTCTCTCTTCCAGGTTTCACATTCATCTGCCTACCAGAGTCTGTCTGTCTTCCTCTGTGTCTATTGTCTCCCTTTTATTTCAACTGACCTCCAGTTTTATACCCAGGTCCGCTCTGCTGAAGGCATGCTAACCAACCTGTAAACAAATCTAAAATCCCCCTACATTTTCTTTAGTTATACAATACATCCATCTCCTCTAGCAATCTGTCTGCTTATTCTTTGAAAAGCTCATTAATTGAATTTTCTCTAGTTAACACAACAGCCCTCCATTTAACATACCAGCTCTCCATTTACTTTTGCTCACAAGTGCCTGTTGAGAAGTTTCAAGTCGGTTGAACCCGGGGATATTTATTACAAATGATACACACGGCTTTTTCCTAGCACATCCTTCCTATGGAGAATCACAACATGCTCTCCGAGACATAAGGTGCCAGGGAGCCTTGTGCCGGTGACATCATCCCAAAAGTTTGCTCTCAACTCTGCAAGCACCAGAGACACCAGCATGAAAACAGACCCGCACCAGCTGCGTTATGAATATTTACAAGGTGACTCATCTTCCTTTCCCTTTTCCAGCAGTCACCTTTTCTTTTTTTTATTGTTAAGGCTGAAAGCAAAACTAAAGACAAATGAAGAAAAGTTGCTTGGTCGGTTATAAAAGCCTACTGCAAAGTATTTGGGTATGGGGGCAATTAAGATGAAGTGACACCTTCTGTCTGGATAATTACACTCCCCCTCCCCCTGGCATTACAGGATCATGGCCTAAATCTATTAGGGCTTGGAAGAATCTCTTGGGGGAAGCAGTAGAAGAACTGGAAGATTTAAAACCAGATTGAACAAGATACAGTCAAGACCCATCCTTTCACTGCAATGCACTTCAAACACCAATCCCTCCTGATCCCACCCAATTTTTACTTCTCTATCCACCTCTCCCATCAAAAGTGATTCTTTTCAGGGCAGAAGTTCACCCCAAAGAAGCCTATATTGATCACAACAACATTTCAAAGTGTTCAACTTCTGAACATTTTGCATTTTCTTGATGATATTTTATCCTGCTCCAACAGTACCAAATGTATTGGTAAGTAGCTGATCTAACAGACTCAAAAAAACAACTTAAGAAGCATTCTCTAAATATTTATAGGATTTTTGCATGGTAAATGGTATATTTTCCTTGTGATAATTACGATTATCCAGGCATCGACCAAGCCCATACCGTACAAACAAAAACTAAAATAAAAGACAAGCTCTGAAACAAATGTACAACCAAAGTATAAGACAAGAGACAATGGGTGGCTAGAGAAAGACAAATGGGGGAACGCAAGGAAACAATTAAACAACATGGTTGGTATTGTCCAAACTGTTTGGTACTTGGTAATGCAACTCATGATCCGCTTAGGCTTTTACTGTTTAAGTGATGTCACAGGTATCGCATCGGGAAGAAAATCTTTTAAAATAAGTCTTTAATCCTCAGTTTTCTTGGAGAAAACCTTTATAAATAAGAGAACACTAGAAATAGCAACTGTGTTAATAGAGGTAGCTTTCTATTGTCAGCCTTTGGAAACTAAGCACCCGTAAGAGATTAGTGATAACACTTTTAAACATTGATGCATACAATTAAGAACCAAAACTAATTAGGCATTAAAAATCCCAATCCATGGCATCACTTAGGTGTTTCTAAACCTTCATCTGGAAATCAGACAATATTTTTATCCAAATTTTAAATTCATACACGTAAGTGATGAAGAAGAAACATTTAAACACATGCTACAATACAGCCATCATAAATATGAACCTTCTGAAAAGCGTTACCTGGATCCAGGTGTGTGAATGATCCGATGACAAAGTCCAGCGTGGAAACAGCAAGCAGAAAGAGCAGCAACAGCTGTAGTCGGATTATCCATTTAACACCAGCCAGGTTAATACCAAGTAGGCCAAGGAGGACTGCCAGAGAAATGCCTCGAACTGCCCAAATGTTACTGAGATTCAGTAAGTCAGAGATGGACTCCGCAAAGCCGGTCACATACATTGCACCTGCAACACACTAAAGGACACTGAATCATAAATCTGCCCTTAAGTGGACAGCTAAGGATTAAAGAAGGAAGATGATGGATGGCTCAGAGGACTGGTGAGAAAGTAGAGACATCTCACTTGCTAGGATGAATCCAGTCCAAGTTGGTATCCACTGAAGGTTGTTAGATCTGACAATGTAAGAGAGGCCTGGCAAGATCAGGCAACTTCCTAGTGGACAGGATCAAGCTGATGAAGTAGGTTATCATCTATGAAAGCTTAGGCCTCCCTGAACCAGTTAGTTTCTAAGGTGCCACCTTGCCCCCCTCGACCTGTATCCTTATTCACGTAACCCACACTGCTCTCTCCCGGGGGACCAGACAGGATGGGAGAACCCAACCCTCCACCCATTACCACTGCTGCTGTCCCAGGTGAACCCAGCCTCTGTGCAGCCCAGCTGGCGTGGGCAGGAGCAGCTCTGAAGCTTCCCCAGCCCCTGGGACAGCAAAGAAAGCAACAGAGGCAGGTGGAGGAATGAGGGGAAGGGGAGAGGAAGGAGATGTGCCTCACAGCAAGGAGGAGATCTTCACTTGCTTTGAGGACTTGAAAAGGTCCCCAGAGGCTCCGCCTGGACCAGTGTGTGGGGGAGAGGGGAGGAAGCTGGGAGCAGGGGATGCAGGCGCCCCTACAGCACAGATGGCTGTTCCTGCACCTCACTTTGCAAAATCCTGGATCTGTCCCTGGATCACCCCAGGCCTTTTAGTTCTGGCAGCAGAGGCACACACTTTGGGATCCAGAGGCCTTAGCTTGAGCCCCACTGCTGACAAATAGCTTGAAAGTTGATGCAACACCCACTGTTTCTTTAAAAAAGGAAAGGAATCCCTACAACAAGGAGACTGAGCACGAGACAAAGTTTCGTGCTGAGCACGAGCAAAGTTTCTTGTGCTATTCATGGCAGAATAGCACAAGAAACTTGTACCTGTTCTTGGGAGTAAGGAACTTTGGGCTCTCAAGCTGCCAATACAGCCCCTATAACCAGCTCTAATTCATCCTGGATGAATCCACAAGCACAGAGAAGGACATGGTGACATAAAAGAGACTGTGTGCACATCCTGAACGACACTCGGAAAGAAAGCACGCGGGCCACAACTACAGCATAAAATAAGAGCATGCCTCTCAACTTCCTTGGTTTCTTTTCTTTCGCTGACATGCAGAGTCCTGCTTAAACCACCTCCTAAAACAATAACCAAGTGCATCTCCCTTTATTTTCTCAAGGTGTTTAGTTCGTATTTAGTTTGGATGTAAAAGTTGATGTTTCACCGGTCTTATTGCTGAGAGGCAGCCTGTACTGAGCAGTGCGTGTTCCCCAAACTCTAGGGAGACCTGTTTATTTTTCTTGATGAGGGAAAGGATGCCTATTCTTCTCTGGCGGGCTGTGTGCTCACAGGAATGGATATCCGAACCTTAAGGAGTCCCAGGCAGGTTAAGGCCTCAAATGATATTTGAGAGATGATACAGGCCCAACCAATCTTCTCTCCTTCCTTCCTTCTTTTCTATTCTCCAGCCCCCATTCCCTAGTCTGCCCCATTTCCCACCAAACGTGGGAACGTTGCTGGATTAGGAGGGGGAAAAGGACTTTTAGTCACGGTGCACCTCTCTGAAACGTCCCACTGTCTCATTACGCCTGACTTTTTGATGGTACTTTTCAATATGTGGCTCACACCAACCATCTGATCTGAAGTCAGGCATGTGCAGTTACTTGTATGCACTGGCGTGTATCAAACTGAAAGGCGTGAAACCTCAACATGCATACACATGTAGGCATCAGTGGTGGCCCATGTGCTGATTTGAACTACCAGGGGTTTTTCAAGCTTGGGATGAGCTTCTGCAGTAGCTAACAAAGTACGGCTTTTTATCCTGTCTCATGGCTACAGCATGAATAGAGGTTTGAATCTGCTACTTCTCCAAGCTTATGGACTTGGTCCTTTCACCCAAGTGACGGAGGTTCAGGCTTTTATAGTGATCCCCAAGACCCAACAAGGGGTGCCATTAGAACTGCACAAGCACACAGGCCAATTAGTGACAAGCACCGCACCCCAACTTCCAGAGAGGTCGAAGAAAAACTTCCACTGGCTTCAGCAAGAGTTGGGTCAGGGATTAACAGGCCAGAGGCCTGCTGTAAATCAATCCAGATGCACTGACTTCAGAGGGGATACAATGCTTCACACCAGCTGAAGAGCAGCGCAGTTCAGAATACGTGGAAATTGCACATGCTTAATTTTGGCCTTCAATGTGCACAGTTAACAGCACTGAAGATGTAATGCATTTAGGACCTGAAGTGGAACCAAACCCCAAACAGAATCCATTGACATCTGAAACCTCTAACACAAGAGAGACAGCCAGGAAGGCATGAAAAAGTGCCATGCAATTGATTGGAGAGACCATCAAAGTAGGAGATGCACACATTTAAAAGAATGCTTTGGTGGGACCAGAGAAAAAGAAGTAGCCTCTAATAGTCTCAACATTGTACGAGTCCTTGTAGCAATAGTCCGCCTTTCCTTTGTAAAGAAGCGCACTCATCAGAAGAATGAAACATTTCTATGGCCATGAAGGACTTGCTACCTATTATAAAGTGGAGACAATTATCTCATGAAGGCACAATGGAAAGGGTTCATTTTTTAAATGCTTTGAACTAAACCACCTTGAAAATCAGAAACAAATTTCTAGGCCAAATATTTCAGTAGAAAACAAGTCTCTCGAGATGGTTTTTTTGTGAGCCATAATAAACTCAGCTTCTCAAACAGCATAACTGATTTTAAGCATCTACTGCTCCTGACACAAGTGCTATCTATATTTTTGCTTTTAAAACAGAGCTGTTTTAGAGCTGGGGCCTGAAACGCCTTGCTTGCACAAGTAGCTCTTACTCGAAGGACTGGTCGGGACACCAGACCTCTAGCCCTTATCTTTTCAACTGAGCTTTGCAGCCTATCCAGAGCTGGCACCACCAGTTTCAACGTGCCTGCTCATGGCGATTTAACTGCAAAATCAGGATTTTCCTTCATACCCCCAAATGGCACAAAGTATTCTCTAATCTAGCAGCTCCCAGGCTGCTTGGGGCCAACAGGCTGCTGTCAACCCTCAAAATATCCCCCTGACGCCTTCCATTGTGCTGTAAATTGAAAATGCTGTATAGGCAAACGGGGCTCAGCATGAGCTACAGATTTCCCCTGGACCATCAATGCTCTGCAGACCACAGTTCAGGAACGACTGCCCTAACCAGTTAGAGAAAGGACTACCCTAACTGATGGAGAAGTGAAACGCATCCTCTTCGGGACATAGCATTGCACTGCTAATGGACTGCCGGCCCCCTTCCACAAACCTTCAAATTGATTTTCTATGAATTGCTCTCTCAGGCAGGGGTTGACTGGTGAGCTGAAAGGGAAAATGTTACAGGAACTCATTTCACTATATGTGCAGGACTTTTAGGTGGCTGCATTTACAGTTGACTCTATTTAATATGGACTTTTTCCCCCCCCATTTGCCAAAATTTGAGAGAGAGCTGCAAGCTAGTGCATTCAAATAAGTAAAATACAGAATTCTTCTCTGGGTGTTATATTTGCTGATGCTTCTAACACCTTTACTGGTTTTTCACTTAATCACCACTTTTCCATTATTAGGCTTGGATGTTTGTGCTTATTAACCCTCTGACCTCTATGTACCACGTCATTAGCAAATAAGGGCTTCTCTGAAAACGAACAAGCTGCAACTTTCTGGTTTCATGAAGTCAGACAGCTACCCATTACCTCCTGCCCAGCCAGCTCTCTAGCTCCTTTCACCTAATTGCCTATACACTATTTTGTGTATGACCTCTTCTGGCCACGTGCTTATATTACCCGCTTCACTCTGCTCGGTGACAAGCCACTGGCACACGTTTTAAACACATTTTGCATGTTCTTTACTTGGTCACTTCTGTTTGTCATCTTGTTTTTAGAAAGGGCCTTTCTTACTCAACAGATCTTATTAACTAGAGCATTTTTGTGTTTCACATCATTTCAGTCATTGTTCCCATGAACGTATTCAGAGACAATTCAGACAGTATCAGTTCTTCCATACACATGGAGAACATCAGCTTGTCAGCCTAATTATCAGCATTCCCACTGTTCAAACGCTGGGGTGCAGAAGACATTTCCCTCCCTCTTGTTCTTTGGCTGTCTGGAACATTGTCTAAGCCACAGGCGGGCAATTATTTTGGGCAGAGGGACGCTTATTGAGTTTTGGCAAGCCATCGAGGGCCACATGACAGGCAGCACAGGGCAGATAAATATTAATTTTCTACATTTTTTAGGGGCCCCGCGGGCCGGATAGAATGGCCTGGCAGGCCACATCCGGCTCCCGGGCCACATTTTGCCCAACCCTAGACTCTAAGCTAAAGTGCGTGGTAAGAAGCCCTACCTTACTGGGAAGAATGGGATTATAAGCTTCTGCTGTGCTTTTCCATGTCACCCATCTCAGTGGGAGCATCTTTTTACCCTACAGTAGGGAACAAAAACACTAAGGCTTGGCTTGCAGTATTTTTCTATTAGAAACTTCTTTACCTGGCCAAAAATATAAAGGAGGCCAATGGTCCCTCCAACTTGGCCACCGAGGACAGTAGAAATCATGGAATAGACTCCTCCACTTCCGATGCTGCATCGCTCACAAACTCCAATTCCAGACAAGACTGTTACCAGGGCAACCAAGACAACAAAGGACACCAAAAACATGCCCATTAATATCCCGGTGTTTCCCTGTAATGGAGAAACAAAGATACTGTAGCATACAAGGAAAAGTATTCAAGGGAGAAAAAGGACCTACCAACTTAAAATAAGATTCCCATTGACTTGTAACACATTTTGTCTATTCATTTTGGAGTATTTATATTCAGATTTTTTTTTAAAACTTTGTCTACAAATGCGGCAACCAAAGGAACAAGTGTTAATTATGTTATTTTTGAAACATGGTAAGCAGTTTGAGGCAGAAACCACCTTTTTTTTTTCCCTTTCTTTCTTTCTCCTGGGCCCATGCAGAACCTACCACAAATGGGACCCTGTCCATGATTCAGGTTCTTAGTTCTGCTTGTTTTGAAAATTAAGAGAAAAAAAATACACGTTGGATCAAATGGCAGAGTCTGTTCAACTCCAACTAAATGGTTTGTTCTGAGGTGTAACTACCAGGGTCTGCACCGTGGGTGGCAGCAGCAATGCCAGGAGCTGGGCTGGCAATGGCAGAGGTTGCTGGCTGTTTCTGCACCCGCTCTAAAAATGAATAGCTGGGGCAGGTGCTACAGTTGCTCACCCCTCGTTATGCCACTGGCTTTGTTTGGGATCATTCAAAGACTTTAAAAAAAAAAAATCCGATGAAAAATTTAAAACAAAAAATTTCAAATAAACAAAGAAGTGTAATGTTTCCTTTCCTTTAAAAATGTAAAAGGAAACATTTCTACTTTTTCATGTTTTCCTCCTTCAACCTCCCCACAACCGAAAAAACAAGATTAATTTGTGAAACTTTTCAGGATTTGCCAAATCTGAGGTTAAAAAAAAACAACAACTTTCAGAAGAAAAATGTTATCCAGCTCCACTCCTATACCCCCTACTATACAAATACTAATAATGATAATGAAGATGTGCAAGCACTCAGTCCACACCCATTTGCACTCCCAGCCTTCCTCAGATGACAAAGACACATTCCTAACCTTTCAAGCAGGCTTGCTCAATGGTCTGCAACTGGAGAATTGTATATCTCCTTTTAGTGGTATCAAGTTGAACAAACCTCCTGTGAGTTGCTTCATTACTTGTCCTAGAGCATAAGCCCAAAACCAGCAACCTGGTCACATAGTGGTGGCTTCTTATCCTTGCTCCCAACCGTTAAGCTGCACAAAGTAATTCCTAAATATACCTTAAACTAGCATAAACGCCTGTCAAAAAACGATGGGCAAAAATAGGCTACTTGTTATAAGGTACCACATTTCTGTTATCCACTGTGTCTACCAACTTAAGCTGTTCTGCCTGGTCTTCTATACAACAGGTATCCATCAACATTTCCAAGCGTCTCCTCTCTAAACTCCTTCGGCTATTTCTTCAGACACTGATGGTTCTCCATGCATGGTGCATTTGGATTCAATCTTCCACACAGTCCGTGAATCGTACATCTTGTCACAATGATCTTCGCTCAACAGGCAATGCACTGTTGTGTGATCAAATGTTTGTTTTAAAGTTCTGGTAATGCTCGCTGTTCTGATGTGTCATCAGATCCCAAAAATACTTCGGAAACAGCCTTCTTGGAGGCAGAATCACTTTACCCTGATGACAACAACTCCAGAATTGGCCATCTGATGGTCTTTCAGCTTGGAAGTTTAAAGAGTTACAAAACTGGCACACCACATTCATCAATCCACAACTATGTTCCTCAATCTCGTCTTCAGTGAATCTAGTGTTGTCTACTCTTTCAGCCTGTCTTCTATTGTTTCTGTGACCCCTTTGCCTTTCCATTGCATCTCTTCTAAGACATCCTCTTTGCTCATCTGTTTCGTTTAATCTTACTCTTGCCATTCTTTCTGCATTCAATTGCCATCTATTCTCTGCTTCACCTTGGTAAGGGTGTTTGGGTTAAAGTTAAAGTAAAGGTGTTAAGGGATGATTTTTGCTCAGATACTGAGAGGACCCCATAAGTAACTGAAATCCATCACTAAAAGTCCAGAAAAGTGAGTGCAAATAGGGTTTTTTGAGCGTGACAGGCAGAATAACAAAGACACAAACGAAGCAAATTATTTTAGAGGATCCTTCATCCACAGGGTGACCATACGTCCCAGTTTTGCCAAAACATTCCCCGATTCTGTAGACTGGTCCTGGCCAGTTGGTCAGAAATCCCAAGCTGGAATCAATCCAGCTGGGAGGCGGAGCGGCATGGTGCACTAAGCGGGTGGCTGGGCAGGCACTGCTGCTGCTGTGCAGGAGCAAGGTAGATTGATTGGAGCAGACACCATCCCCTCCGGCATATGGCACATCCTTGCTCCCAAATAGCACCAGCGGTGCCTGCCTGGTGCACCAATGCTGCTCTATCACCCCTCCAGACTCCGGCCTGGGACTTTTCACCAACCACCTGCAACTGGCCTGTGGAATCCAGGAGTGCCCCGGCCAAACTGAGACTATCGTCGCCCTATTTATCCGCCAGCCCAACTGCTGCAGTCGCCATAGGGGTGCTATGACGTTGTACATGGGAGGGGAGGTCATCTACATTCCAAGCTGGAGAATGCTTCTTTTTAGAAAGTTACAAGGAAATCCAACTCTTCCCAGAAAAAAGCAGTGTTTTTGCCATCATGCACCACAGTGCCAGTAACAGCTGCAGCAGCTAAATCAGTTTATCTAACTTTGGAGCTGTGGAACCAGATCGGGCCAGGTTCTTGGTCCCCCACTGGCTGCAGCTTTCAGGGCCAGCCTACTGCATATCCCGCCAGTTTGCGGTTGCCATATTTAGCTGGAATTTCTCATCTCGTGGGACTCCTGCTTTCCAAAAGCAAAATAAGATTAGGCTGGTTAGCACCTCTAGGGACTGCTAGCATTCAAGTGCTTCTCCTGTGACCCCTGTTCTCATTGCCATCTGCTTGTTCCTCATACTGTTGTAATTGCTAAAAGAGTCTCTCAGGTTTTGGTCACTTTATTTAAGAAGTCTCCTCCAGGACACAAGGCAGAGAGGAGCGTGGCCTTGGAGCTGCTTTCCTCTGCCACTACTATAGTGAGATTCTGCGCCACGCTTTTCCCAAAGCTGGCTGCGTTTTCTCTATCCACTCCCGGGATGCTCATCTCCAATGATGGGTTGGCCACTGGAGCCATTTTGTTTCTTATCACTGCTGAGTGGCTGCTGCTTTTGTTTTGTGCTGGTCTTTGTCCCAGATCTTTTTTTTTTTTTTTTTTTTTTAATACAGAAACGTATCCAAGATGTTGCTACCATCATAAAATCCTACTTCGTTTCAGTGTCCTGCTGTTTTAGACAGTGGTTTTATCGGATCAGCGGGGAAAAGAGCCAAGGCTCATTACAAATGCAGCTGTTGGCTGGGTCTACATTGCCCAAACCCCTGTGAACTAACTTTTTTTTTTCCCCCAAGGAACAATTGCTTTCTTGCCTCAATTATTTATTCTCAGGTGAATACGGCATAGTTTGCAGACTGTTTAAACTTCAAAAATAAAAATCTCAGTAGCAATTTGTATTAAATATCGAGAAGAGGTTGATGTCGGGTATGCAACTGGTAGGAGTGAGCAATTCCAGAGGTCCTAGAGAAGAAATGGTTAACACCACAGAGCGAAAGCTGTAATTCATCCTTGCAGTTCATCCCAGGGTGGAATGCCACACCCGGGGATAAAGGCAGCACGCGGAGCAAAGAGGGGAGAAAGCGGTCATGCTGAAGCTTAGTTGCAACCATATTATGCTTCACATTTCTGAGTTAGCAGCCAGTGTGTTACTACCATTGTTATTTAGCATTTCTAGACATGTCTAAAGACCTCCAACGCTGATCAGGGCCTGCGCTGCATTTGGTGATGTACAAATATATAGGATGGGCCCCTGAAAAATGGGCCCTCCCTGAAAAATGCACAGTTGAAAGCTCTGCTCTTCCACCCAGACCAGAGCAAGTGAACCTTGTCCCTTTGTGAAGCTACGATGACTTCACCGCCCAATTCTATTATTTTTAATCATGGCCCATTTCTTTTTTTCCCAAGTTTTCTATTCTTTTTTTTTTTTTAAACTGACTACACAATCAGTAATTCTTTCAGATAGAGGCAAATAGGAGTGGATAAAGGGATTATGAAAACCCTTTGAAATTAGCCACAATTCCCAGTGATTACACAGCGTGACAAGAGTTAAAGTGGTTGCTCATGGGAGCCAAGGTGCCCAACACCCATCAGGAGTAGGCTCCCTGTACGTAGCTGGTATTTCCCCTAAGGATTCAGCTGGATATGGTGCGCCTCTTCACTTGTGCCGTAAACTGATCTGCAGTGCTGCTATGTGCCTCTAAGCAGCTGCTCCATTTCATCCCAATAGTAGAAACAGGATTCACATGATCCCTCTTTATTATGAGCTCATTCTTCTCCCAGACTGTGTAATTGCATTGTCTTCAGAGATGCAACTCCTCATCCACCACACTATGACGGGAGAGCGGAACCAGGCCCAGCATCTGTCTGCGCAAACGCTCCCTTTCAGATGAAAGGAGTTACATAAATGCACTACATTAAAAGTTTCTCCTTGTTATTTTAAGAAGACGCCTGCTGTGCATGTGACATTAAGTCCAGCTGAAGCTCCAGCTCCACCGTTTCCTGGGGAAGCATTTCTTAAGTGGAAATTGTAAGGAACAGCAGAGTGTATTGAGCAAGGCTGGCTCTTGCATTGTGCTGTGGTCTCAGGGTCGCTCTTCAAAGCCCTGACCTTGAGCTACATGCTCCTCTTGATCCACGCATGGGACTCCCTCCGATAGCAAGGAGAATGCCACCATAATCAAAGGCCCTTCATTCAAGACAGCAGGGAGTCCATTTAAAACTGACACATTAAAAATACGCCTGCTTCAGTGCTGCTTGGAGGAGGACAGCAGAGGATGTGTAACCATGGCAATACATCTTACCTGCAAAGTTATATTTGGATACAACAGTATACATGGGCTTCCCTATTTGCCGAACCATGCATTGGAGAGGAGTCACGAAAACGGCCCAAGCTTCAGCCAGTTTTCCACGCAGTAATTTTAGTGTTTCAGGAGGAAACCAGGAAATGTAAATCAATATAATAAAGTCTCAATATGAAAAGGAAAGCACAAAAGCAAAGTCAGCTGTCGGGGGTGGGAAATAACTTACCGCACAAGCCAGTATAAGTGCACCCAATTTGTGCTTTACTCACCACTAGCCAGCCGGTCCTCAGAAAAAGAACTACTCCGAAAATGTTGATCATACAAGAAGTAAAGACACCATCCCAAGTTCCAAAAAGCACCGGCTCCCAGACGAACAGCTGTATCTTCCACCAGGGCTTGGTCTGTGTTTGAGATACCTACAAGGAAGAGAAACTTTCAGTTCCTTCCATTCTGCCTTCCAGATGTGGGGTAGATGATGGCTTGCCGGGACCCCTGAAGCAGGACTGCTCTGTTCAAAGATGCTACAGCATCGCTTTACCTGAACTCAGCCCCGGAAAGCTGTAGGGAGAGGGCAGCTCGGAAAAAAATAGGCAGACACACAGCACTGAGAGCCTTCCTTGGTGGGCAAGAGCCACTAAGATCTACAGAGTCCTGCAGTGCCGTGAAACACCCTAGGTTTCACAGGAAGCATCACAGCCTGATCTTTAATCTGTTCTCTTCCCTCAACTTCGTTCAAAGTGACATAGAAGCACAGGGGGAAAAAAAAAACAAAACACAACCCTGTATCTTATGTGAAGAAATGCAGGGTCACAAGGCCTCAGGCAACCAGGCCGGACGTAAAAGCCCCAAGGTCTGTGCTTATCAGCCACGTGCAGCATGTCACAGGAGTTGCCCCTCTATAGACTCCTCATTAAGGGAGGCATAGAGGGATGTTTTATATTAGGGAATAAGGGTTGTGAGGTGCCCTACACTAACGAATCTGGATATAACAAAGAACATCATGCACTTATTTAACAGCTTCAGGCACATGCAGTTTACACAAAATGAGGCAGCGGGCTGAGGAGAAAAACGTGATGTCTGACCGGGCTCCAGGGACTCTGATTCAGCCTTTGCATGGGTCAGTATATATCTCCTCCTCTGAAAAGTGAGTCTGTATTCAAGGAAGTGGTGTCTTCTCTCAGTGATTATCAACTCATACAATAAGAACATGTGAAAGAAGTTTTCTGTCGCTACCAGCCCTGCAAGCTCAGTCTGCATTTCTGAAAGATGTGGTGGGCTGTTGCTTCCCTTCCTAAATCAGCACTAGAAAGAAAGGTGCGGCAGGTCAGATGAGCAGGGGCACTGTCACCTGGGCAGCCCCAATCTCTGCTGGATTTGCTCGTACGCTGGCTGAGTGAGCAACTCTGCAGAGGCTGCACCGGAGCCCAGCTCGCTGTCTCTCCATGGGGTTGACAAGACAAAGGACTGGGGAGTAGAGAACATGGCAAGAACAGTTGTCGCAGCAAGGCTGGGTTTGGGGGGAAAAAAAAACCCCCAAACCCCCAAAACCAGGCCACTCTGCTCAAATGCAAAGCAAGGAACCTAACATTAGGCCACTTGCTTTTCAAAAACTCAGCCCAAGCCAAAAATGTGATAACAAAAGCCCTGTAGTGTGCATGGTATATTGCTTTCAGTTATATCTGTAACTGGGCTGCGGGTGCAATACATTTTTGGGCCAGATCAAAGTGACAATGCCATTTGCTCCAAAGTGACAATGACATTCGTTTTTGGTTTCTCCCGGTAAAATGGAAATCTGAAAACATCTGGGTGTTACCCCAAATACAACATTTCAGTGGACTTGGCGCAACATGTTCCAGTTCCATTTCAGACATCTTTCACAAAAGGGAGAACTGGGTAGCTAAGGCATTCACCCGGTAAGTAGGAGACTTGATTCAGCCCCTTCCTCCATCACATTTAGGATTTGAAACTACATCTCCCCCGCTTCCCCTAGCTAGCTACCGCCAAGCAGGGTATTCTGGAACAGGCGGGATGCCCTCACAGTACATCCTTATGGCACTCTTCCATTCTGTATGAAATATTTATTGAATTAGTCAATGCAGCAGGGATTAAAACTCAGGGGCTGAACCCCCTCTTCCCCCCAAAGAGTGCTCTAACCAGAAGAGAAGCTCTGCTGGCCCATAGGTAGCAATACTAAGTGAGCTACAAGAAACATCAGACTCTGCCTTACCCCTTAGCCTCAGTTTTAACTTTCTAATTTTCTATGGCTGTGAGCAACATCAGAGTCCTGCAAGCAACATGTCTCCTGCAGGCCATGGGTTGGGGACCACTGCTCTTCAGTCACTTAAAATATTCACTGAGCGATCAAGAGTGTAAGTACTTTGCAGAACACAGAGCAACTCCAACAGGCAAGACTGAGGGAGACCCATCGCAGAACACCATGTGGTCCAATATATAAGGCAGCCGCCAGAAATAAGAGAGACCCAAACCCAAATCACCAAGTGTCCCAATGCTCAGGACATGATCCTAACTATCATGCTGTGAAGTTTTCAGGGTTGATCTCCTTCAGTCTCTTCTGTTAGCACTGTTCCAATTTGTATACAGCCCTTAATATTTATTGAGGGGGGATAAGGTGGTCAGGACATTCACCCGGGCAGTGGGACATGAATACTTACGTATTTTACCCAAAATAGAACCGTATTAATAGGAAAGACTGAGTGTGCCACATGCCACAATAGCTCATGCCCTCTGTACAGGCAGGGTACACTCCTGGAAGGTTGGAGGTATGAGTTCAAAGCCCCTAGAAAACACCTCTGCAAGAAAACTGGGATGAGTGGCCTAACCGTTCAGCTATTACATGAAAAGGGGAATTAAAACCACCTCTGTTTCTACCTTCTCCTCTTCCTGACTGGCTTTGTGAATCTGCCCTGTCTTCTCCCACCAAATTTCAGCTAAAGTTACATAACAATTTTGATCCAACTTTAAGTCAGACAAGACAACATGTTAAGGCAAATAATCTCTTGGTAAAAAAAAAAAAAAATTACTTCTCTAATATTTAGGCATAGAGTATAACGAAGACCAATGTCCCTAATGCAGACATATACTGAACTGCAGCTAATAATGTAACTGAACCCTAAGCAGATGTGTCAAAAGCTTTGGCCTACTGCTAAGCACAACATGATGCATCATTTGACCCCGCTCTAAGACCTACAGTAACTGGACCCATCATAGGAAAACGGTCAGGTTAGTAAATTAGCCACATTTATTGTTGTCATTGGGGGGGTTTTTGCTCATTTTAAGGGAACTGAAACAGCATCTAAAAGTGTCTCTACTAATTTATCGTTATGATTTGTTGGCTATTTAGTAAGAGGCGCTACTCCCTCTACCATGACTACTAAGGTGTCTGTATGATGAGGTTTCTATGTCAATAGAGACATAGATAAGATTAAAACCAAGTCTTGACACCCTAATTCCACATGAGAGGACTAACTGCTGCATGCTAGCTAGCACCTCAATTATGCCTGCAATTTCTGGCAATTTTCCTTCAAACTGTGAACCATCACGTTGCATCTGTAACTTAAAATAAAAGGGTCTACAAACAGCAGATTGCAGCAATCTTCAGAAAGTTAGCAGAGCTGCCCTTGTAAAGAACAAGCTCAGACAGATTGCCCAAGGAAGGATTGTTACAAAGCAGTGCCTGCTTATACTGTGAACTGTACCACATTGCATGCAACCATACCCCAAGCAGAAGTTTACAATGGTTCTCCAACGTGGCCCTGGGAGCAAGCAGGAGAGTACTCAGATTTTTAGATTAAATTACATGACCCAGTCAACTGCAAACATCTGCTACTTGAGTGTCACTGAGCTGTCGCTTTGTGTTGCTTCCAGAAAGGGCTAGAAATGGATGTCAGAGATGAGTGATCTGAAAAGAAGGGTCTTTTTCAACCTACCTGTTGTGCCTCCTCGTGGAACAGCTCCTGCACATGCCCATCACTTCTTGTAGCCATGGTGTCACTTGGAGGAAATGTTCTGCCCTTCATACTAATCCGTATGTCCGATGTTCAGTCATAACAGCAATCACAAATAGGGGGGAGCTTCGTCCCAGCCAGATTCCTGCAATGCTGGATTTTCTGCTGAAGAGGACTCATGGTTTTGTTATACCTAGTGTATACATAGGGGACACAGCAGAGAAGAGAGGGAGTTACTGCAATTTTCTTATTCTGCAGAATCAGAAAAGCACAAATCTGGCAATTAAACAGCACCATCCTTTCAGAACATACCCTTGACATGGCACCTACGTGCGAGATAGAGGCGCTGCTTCTCAACAGGCACATTCATCCTAATAGAGCACATTTACAATGAAGATAAGAAAACCTCATCCTGACTTCGATATAGGTCTTTCTTGTACCATGCCTGAAGGCAAGGCAATGACAGCTGGGTTGAAGAACCTGATAGGTCTGTGCCCCAAAGTCAAGTCAGAAAAAACCAAACGAATAAAAGCTGGGGTACGGGGTTTAACAGAAGCATAACAATTGACTGGACCTGTGCAGTATTTGTTGTTAGTTCCTAAATTTGGTACAGGTTGATTTCTTTGGATCTCCTCGTGTGTGTGTATTAATTCACCTCATGGTAGGAGGAGTTACTTAACACACACACACACACACACACACAAAGGACCAACTGCCACTGCACATTTCTTTATTTATATTGCAATAACGCTTACAGGTCATGGTTGATACTGTACAGCGCCTTGCACGTTGGATCCCCAAACACATGGCAGACAGTCACTGGCACCTACAGCTCCCAACTTACAAAGACCAGATAGACAAAGGAAGTGTCATGGTCACACTTTCCAGGAACAGAGGTCCAGAGAGATTTCAGTCGATTGCCTAAGGTCACACAGGACGTGTGTATCCAAGGCAGGAATGGAACCTGCATCTCTCAAACTCAGTGTATTAACTCTCTTACCTTTCTCATTCTGCCTCTGCCTCAAAAATTAAAGTTGCCCAATAATACATAAATAAGAGCTTAACTGCTGTTCTTCCATGCTAGCACTTCTGATGCAGAGGGCTTCCTACTTCACCTGGCACAATGGACAGCACAGGCAGCATTGTGTTACCCAGTGCATGTGGTCTGTTAAGCAGCAGTGAAGCAGTTAAGAGTTCGTGGGTTTCTGGCTGCTCATTCCACACATTGCAGCAAATAATCCTTTACAATATCACAACTGGTTGCTGTTATAGAGCGATTGGGACTTCAAACAGGGAATAAGCAGCAGGAACAGATGAACTCTTAAGAAACCAAGACAGTGTTTATATGCCAATAGCCCCAGCAATAAAAAGTGGAGGGAAGAAAATACCTGACACGCAGACAAAATTGCTTCTAAGTGGAATATTTTCAAAGCACCCCACAAGGCATCCAGCTGCGCTTTAATGGCAAGAGGTTTTGTTTAGTAAAAGGTCCATTGAGACCACCAGAATCATTTCATTTAAGAGTCGTTCAAACTGGAACAAGCAAAATATAGCATTGCTTTCCTTGTTCCTGTCACAGTCTTAATGTCCAAGGTGCCTAACTCTCACTGTGGTACCTGAGGACTGGCTTGGGCAAAGCTGACCTGCATTCCTGGCAGTGAAAGTATGCTTGCAGTGAGCCTTGAACGTGAAGAAGTAATTGCTCATTTCCCTGGTTGTCCACATGGAAATAGATCTGCTCACACACTAGGGCCCCAATTCTGAAACTCAGAGCATGCAAATGAAGCGCTATAGCCCTGGGCTGCACACTGCAGAACTGGGGTTTAACCTCGTCCAGGACACTTTGGACTTCTTGTTTTAATCCCCTGCTTCCCTTACTTCCTTCCCTTTTCTACTCTCTCCTGGTTTTAAAAATCCTCTTCCTTCTCTAGTCCCTCCACTTGTTTAGCACTACCTTTGTCTCTCTCTCTTTCCCCGCACACATTCTCTCCCTTGCTGGTTTGAGAGCTTTCTCCCCTGCAACTACTGCTGCCAGGATTTGCCCCATGACACTAAATAAGACGACACTGCATCAGCTCATCTTATTACCTACCATTTCAAACATTCAAATCTGTGTGGCGCTATCACCAGCGAGTATCCTACCTCCCAGACTCATCAGTCTGGGGCATCAGCTACTCCTAACTCCATAGCAGACATCCTACATGCAAGCCTAAAGCGCAGATGTCTTGGGGTTCAGATGCCCCCTGGTCTCTCTTTCCCCAGCCAAAAGGTGAAAGGAGCAAGCTGGGAAAAAGCCTGAAAGCAATTCCCCATCTCCATAAATTGTGTGGCTGAGATGCTCGCATTTGGAGGCATTTATAGACTCTCGCAGGGGTCAGCCAGCGCAGACTTGAATGACTGAGCTCTACTCATTCAAAATTTGAAACTTAATTTGGAATCGATTTGGCCCTGGAAACAAAATTGAATTAAGAAAAAAATCCTACCATTTCAATACATCTCTATTGCTGAAATAGTAATAGGGGTGTTTCATGTTGCAATCATTTATGCGCATATGTATAGCATTAATAGCTGCATTCATTTGACTTGAGAAAGCAATCCGGGATACTGCTTTATCTAGGACACTATGCAAAGTACGTAAATGAAAGGGAGACAAACATTTCCGCCTTAATTTTGAATACGATTAGCCCCAATAAAGTCCACTGAATCACTCGCAGCACGTAAGAACAGGTATGCACATATCTTTGAAAGATCAGGGTCTTAAATCGTACGGTCTTTGGGGCAGGAACATTCGTCTGCATGTTACACTGCTGAGCACTGCCTGTGATTTCTAGGTTACAGCAAAATACATAAATACTAATACCACCACAAAAGAGCTATCCAGGTCACTACTTGCAGCTGACACATATTATGCTACACATACCACCGATTAATCTGCAAGAACAAGCTGTAATTCTTGTTGTCATCCAATATAAAACGAAGACCTAATTAGAAATGTTATCGATCTGGCCTTCACCAGAAGTTTGTAACAAAAGATACTAAACAAATCAATAACATATAAAATGGTGATGCATACCACTACTTCCTCATGGCATTCACTTGGAGAAGCAGACAGGGTATCTGAGAGAACACACCCATTACAAATCCATAGGAAAAAAAAGATAATGAGTTAATTTTTTGGTTTGTTTACAGGGTAACAAACAATTAAAAATGTGAGATGGCTGCATACGGAACTGCAAAAGCACATTCTTAAAAATGACATGTCTACAGGCACGACAGCTCAGCCTGCAGCTCAGATTGCCTTTGCGCCTTTTCAGACTGAGAACGTTTCATTAATTGTCATGTTAGTGCAGCGATTTTGGCTCAGAAGCTCCTTTAAAACTATTCAACAGATGGCTGATTTTAAAGACAAGAGGTTAACACATTTCCAAACACAACTGTGTGTGGTCCAATGACTTCTGAAGGGGCTCCCTTCCCGTCAGAGCTGCTGCTTTCTAGACTTCTTTTATGATAGGGTCCAACAGTCCACAGCACTTTTCAATAAACTCCCTATCTCCTCCTCATGGTCCAGTTGTTATAACACACCACATTTTTGGGGGCCACAAGAAATAAAGACAAATAAAACAGCAGTCAGAGCAATAAACTTAAATATGATACTGCACACAACAGTGCTGAGTTCAGTACAAAAATGTTGTTCCTGCATAGTGATATCCAATGTCATCTTGTTATTTTAGTCCACATTTTTGGGGGGCGGGGGGGAGGGGGAGAAACACAACAGAATATTACATATTGAGAGCAAACCCTTACTTTCTCAAGTAGCATATTTGTTTTACAATCCAAGGAAGCTGTTAATTTCTTTGTAAGTGATTTATAAGATACCCATCACCGTTGACACCATTACACTCGTGCCATAACTTGCTACTGGAAATGATGATGATGGTGATAAAGGTGCTGTCAGTATTATATTTCTCCAGGGCGCCTAGAAACCTTGAGCACGTCTGAGCATTTAAAGCTCAGGCCCATCTTTGCATTTATGCTTCTCCAAACAGGGAGAGCAAGTCAGCACTTTCTGTTGGAAAGATCACACAACAGCCAAACCCTGCTGAAAAAAGTTCATGAGACCCAAGGAAAGGATGAACGTGCCTGCTCCATTGTTCCTCCTGCCTAAGTGTATGCCTTCTTCCTACAGCCCGTTTCCTTTCTAGCAGGCTCTTTGGGGCAGGGGCTCTTACCCCACCTCTGCACCGAGTGATTTTTTTTTTTTTTTTTAATTTGTATCCGAGGCCAAATTAGCCAAAACTTCTTCCAAATCCATAAGTCCAGAACCATAAGTGGCCCTACTACCAGCAAACATCCCCCACCCACACCTGGGGCTTCAAATGTTTCCAAAAACCTTCGGCGGGCATCCTACTTGCAGGCCCAAGCCTGAAGGCTTGGGGTTCGGATGCCCCCGAGTTTTGCTGGCCCTCAGCCATTCGGCCCTCAAAGCAAGCAAGGGAGGAGACTCCAGCGATTTTCACCCGGGTGTGGCGGCACGCGGGGGTCCTTTTCAAGGGTGCCGTGGGATGCCACTCCACAGAGGCGTGCCAGCACCATTCCCGAGAAGAACCCAGAGGTGTCAACTAGGAATCGGCTGGGTTAAATACATCCAGACCTTTTTTTTTTTTTTTTTTTTTTTTTTTTTTTTAACAGAAGACGCGCTCTAGCATTTCCCCCCCGCTAGTCCAAATAAAGCAGAAAGTCACCGCCACCATAGGGAAGCAGGGCTGGAAGCGGCCTCGCAAGGTCACTGCGTCCAGGCGGGCTGAACCACCCCAGCCCAGTCGGCTCCTGAAAGCGCCCAAGCGTGGAGCTCGTGCAGCACCCTCCTCATCTCCACCTGCCGCAGCGGGAGGCCCCGCTCCGGGGGAAAGCCCCGCGTGGGAGCCGAGAGCAGGCGCTTTCCCAGGCTGCAGAGGGCAGGTGCCTGGTGCGGGATGCCCGGGGCGAGCAGACGGGCCGGGACCGGGCGGCCCCGCCCCCGCCGCAGCCCACGCCCCGGAGCAGGTTCCTGGATCCGGGACGCACCTACACCTGCACTTGCACCTGCAGCTTCCCCGTGCCCGGCTTCCCCCCCATCCAGCCGCCCCCGGCCGCTGCAGGGGTGCAGATCCCGGCCCCCCCGGCCCCCGGCTCACCTTGCCCCAACCGAGTCGTGCCGCCGGGCTGGGCCAGCAGCACCCTGCCCAGCTGCCACGTGGGCTTGGGGGAGGAAGAGGTGGAGGAAGGGGCGGGGGACACACTCCCAACGCGGCTGGCCGGGAGCTGGCTCCGGTGACCCGGTGCTTTGCTTGCGGGCGGGGAGAAGGGCGAGCTCCGCGGGGCCGGCTCTCCTCCGCCCGTTCAAGACTGCCTTGCTGCCGGGCACCAGCCCCAGGTAGAGGAGCTTGGCCTTGGGACCGGCCAGGGCTGGGAGCAGCGATCACAGGCATCCCCCACCTTGCTCCTTATTTAGAGAGCTTCGTTTCTGATCAAGAAAGATCACAGAAACATCCAGCCGAGGGGAGCCGGGCAGCAGCAGCAGGACAGCCTTTTCGGCTAGGGCAAAAGTGAAAGAAAAGTGGCTTCCACAGGCTGCAGCCTGGAAGAGTCCCGACCCCGGATGAAGGTGCCAAAAACACCCACGACCTTGGCTGCTAAGGTGTTGGCATGCTGGGGCAGATGGCAGGGACCCTGGCCCCTTCCCCGAGGCACACGTCAAGCAAAATGCCTTTTTATGCCACCTTGGCACCTGTGCCAGGAAGTGCCCACCCCCAGTCTAATCTATCCTGAACTTCCCAGCAGTTTAGGAGATTTTTCACACTCTCATGTTCATCAGTGTACACAGCAGCTGCTCATCCACGTGAAGAAACTACCTGCAACAGCTATTTCAAAATAGTTCCCCACGTGGACTGGAGGGCTTGCCGACAGGAAACTTCCACTGGGAACGAAGGCGCTCTTGTTCCCTACCATGGGCAACCCATGCCTCTCGAGTCTTAGGGGCGCCACCTGAAGCCAGTGGCAGCAATGACAGCATGGACAGGACTGGCAAGCACTCGCAGAAGCCGCCGGCAGAAACAGGGCTGGCAAGCACCCATAGAAGCTCCCGGCAGCGTTGGCGGCAGGGGCAGCCCTGTCCAAGGGGGG